TTAACTTTTCCATTGGTTCCTTCAAGGTTCTTTTGTCTGTCTAATATATGGTCTAAGGTATGATTTTTAATGTTATTGAAGCATCAACCATGCAATCAACTCTATAATAATATTAGAAAACTAGCAATCAATTTGAGAATTATGCATATGCATTTAGTTGTGCATTCTCAGAACTCTGAAGTATTTGTTAATGGATGAATGCAAGAGGAGGGAAGTTACTGAGGGAAGCTATAGTACTTCAGAACAGAATAAACAAAGCATTAATGTTGATCGAATCACCATGAATGATTGTATCGGTTATCCATTGCACCCATCTATGACCCAACCAGAGAGAAAACTGCTTTCTCATCTTAATGTTTCCTTTTAATACTAACAAAATTGTAGGCTTCTCATTCGGTATTTAGGCATTTAAGCACTGCAAGGATTATAATTCATAGTAATAATCCTTGCATATGGAACCTTATCACATTGAAACTTCTTAGAATTTCACAGTAATTATTATTGAGTGTAGAGACTGCGTATGGCAAAAACAAAGCCACTTTATCTAGCAGGTGAATGACCATTTTTATCTGGGAGATTGTTGGCTAGATCGCCAGGAGAAACTCCCGTCTTTTTTGATTAGTGTCATTGGTTTTTGAATCTGCACCTGAACAGGCAGACAAGCACTTTCAGTTAGTTCAGCGTCTTATTCAAAGGACGGCAGCTCCAACAATGCAAACACTGCCTCACCACCACTTAAGTGTCAGTGTAGATCATAAGCTCAAAGTCCATGATGCAAGATTTGAACCCACAACAACCACATCAACAACTTGTATTGATATAGCGCCCTTCACACCGGAGGCGACTTAGAGCACTTAAAACCCTGTGCCTAGAGGCTAGAGTGCTATCAACTAAGCTAGGATTTGGGATTATTCACTAACTGTTCGCCTAATTTTTAATGATCAGAGGAATTTTTAACTCCAGTTTTGCACTCAGGTTAAATAACCTGCTTGCGTCTAAATTATTCATTCCTCTGAACATTTTAAAATTCTTTTTCAAAAATTGCTATTAACGAGTTTTAGAAAAGCCTCTTGTGACCTGTCATATGTCCTGATTTGGGGTGGATGGGGGGGGAGGAATTTTCAAGTAAGATGTTCTTTTTATATTTTGCCGAGCTGGCAGTGCCGTCCCATATGTTTTTAGTGGGAGCTAAGATTGCTGTGAAGGCCATCCTCCAGTGGTTTTCAAATCATTTACATTTGTTTTGCATATTAATGAATTTGCAGCCCGTAAATTTTCAAAGGGTTTACAAGAGTATAGAAGATAACAGTTACGATAAGCCTGAAAGAGGATTCTCTGAAATCAGGCTAAAAATACTGAATAACAAGGAATTATAACACTATAATATTATTATTATAGCAAGAAATAAGATATCCATTCATAGGTAAGTTCCCTTATCCACACACCTCTTTTTACCTACCAGTAAGTAGGAATCCAGTTGTTAGTCGATTGATGGATTGCTTTCCGGGGGTAATAATCCTTTCAAAACAAAATATTAATAATTTGGTCATTCAATCCACCATTGTTTGTGGAACACTGCTGTGTGCTATTGGCTGCCACACCACCCACAAAATATAGTCAATTGACTTTACAGTATATTCTATGAAGCGCTTTAAGACGACTTGATAAGGCACTATATCAAATGCAAGGATTATTATTATTCAGCGAAAGTTAGATAGAAAATCTGGTGCTGTGTAATTCATATGATGTGCGTGTAAAATACAATATTTGTTTAAATGGTTAATTCTAAGATTATCACTTCTCTGGTTCTATCTGGTTCTATACTCTTACATAAAGATAGAAATGTAAAGTACTTAAGCAATTTTATTCCTTATGATTAATGTTTCAGTCTCATTTTCCTGTGCTAGCTGATTCATTTAGTCGCCTTTTTACTTTCGTATCACAAAGTTAGTGGGTGCAAGTCCCAGACCAGGCCTTGAGTTCATGATTTAAGATGACACTCCACAGCATTACTGATGGTGCATTGCATTGTCTGAAGTGCTACCCTTCAACTGAAACATTAAGACAAGATTTTCTGCCTGTTCAAATGCCCTTTGTTCCACCATTGGTGGCCATGCTTTCAGCCACTACGCCCCGAAGCTCTGGAACACTCTTCCTCTATCCCTCCGCCTTGCCCCTTCCTTCCCCATCTTCAGGTCGCGCCTGAAAACCTTCCTGGTCAACCATGCCTACGATCACCTCACCGTCCCCCTGGCTTGGCATCGTTCTATGCCACTGTCAAGCGTTCTGGGATCCTACCCTGCATGAGGCGCGCTATATAAATCCAAGTTGCTGTTGTATGTTAAAAATCTGATGGTCCCAGTTTGTGCAGGGAATTCTCGCTGTATCTTTGCCAGTATTCCTCCAACATCCACAGATGTTGTTGGCATAGATTAGCTGCTGAGTTTGCCTATATATGTCAATGCACTTCAAAAAAATTAATTGTGTGAAATACTTTGAGACATTCTGACGTGATGAGGTGCTAGACAAGTTCCTGAAAACTAAAAATCTTCATAACTTTTGTGGTGCTCAGGATACATGAGACAAGTAAGCCAAAGGAATCTTTGGGGAAATTGGATAGGGTAGGCTAGGGTCAATGGTCTACACCTTCCTGAAATGATTAATATGTTACTACATCAAGTGCAAACATCATTATTTTATTTGTGCCTTTTCAGGTTTGATTGAAAAATCTATAACTAGAACATGGTCCATTGTTGAAAAAGTCAAGTAATAATAATGTTGCAACACTGGACTATCATTTAGGAAGTAAGAATGCAATAATTGGATCTGTTTCACACTGCTTCTGCGAGCTCCACCTGGATTGGCCAAATACTGCAATGAGCAGGTTCTCCAGCAATGTCGGAAGCTGTAAAGCCATAACCTTGAAACTCAGAAGACTGATGTGAAAGGCTCTTTTTGTGGGTGGGTATGAAAATAAAAAGAACCAATTTGTTTAAATAGAGCAAAATTGAGACGTCCCTTTATAATACCTTGTAATCTTCTGTTAACAATTTTGCACTTCTATTAAACCAGCTTGCTCGCCTTCATACACACAATCACAAACTCACTCACAAACCAATTGGTTGCCATGGAGTACCTGGAACAAAGATATTGTTAAATAGGATCATAATAGCCTTAATTATTATTGCCTTGTAGCCTCTGAACACACAAAGTTTTGTGTTTCATTTTTTATGCCCCATGCTGCAAGCACCAAATGTGAATTCCAGTTCTGGAGAGCAATGTATATTGCAATAAGCCCCATGTTTAAGCATCAAAGTGTAGTAGCTCTGTCTGCACATTATGCATATTTTCTTAGTAAATGTGCTCACAGACAGATGGGTACATTAACAACAGAAGATTTATTCATGCAGGAAAGATTAATGCAGAGCACATATCAGCCAATCTAAAGCTTATCTAGCTCGATGGAAGACAGAGACTATTTTGAACCAGATGTTGATCCTTGCTCTCCAGACAACTAGCCATTCTTGGGTTATTTTTATAATACATTTTGAGCACAGAGGTGGGACTCAGACAGACCTTCTGTGCTACAAAGCAATCCTGGCAATCAGTAAACCCACTTCTGGGGCAGGTTTCCTCTAGGTCTATTTCACTTGGACTACAAATAGTCACTGAATTTCTCAGTGCATCAGCCTTATTCTGCCCAGCATATTCACTCCATTCTCTCACAGCATGCACTTAATGCCTGATGTACACACACAGCAGCAGCTGTTGTATGCATCCATGTGACGTCTAATGTATACATGTATTCGGCACTGCATATGTGAACATACATAAACAAACCAAAATATAATACAGTTGTGGATGTATGTTTTACGTAGAGGTTTGTTAGAATGATACTTTGTCTCAAATGGTTGTTGAAGCCATGCCCATAATAGCATTTAAAAAGTGAATTGGATACACGTATTTCCATACTGTAAATATTCCATTGCTGTCTGCCAGTAGATCGATTTCAAAAGTTCTCACCCTCACCTATGAATCCCTTCATGTTCTAGCACCTCCCTAATTCTATGAGCTTCTCCTGCTTCACTCCTCTGCCCTACCCCTCCGCTCACCAAACTTGGACTTGCCCACTTTGAACCACCATTGGATTATATGCTTCTAACCTGGAACTCTCTATCCCTCAATCTTGCCCCTTCCCCCATTCTGTAGCTTTTACAAAATCATTCTTTGTGGATCAGAGAGTATCTTTACACTATTTTTCCCCAGGAGATAGATCGGTATGACTCCAGGCCCGCTGATGTTCTCTTGGCTTGTCTGGCAGACATCAGGGCCTGGATGAGAGAAAACTTCCTACAA